ACCAGTTTTGCTGGTACGCTTCTGCAGCGTCGGTCTGGAATTTCTAGGGATTCAAAGCAATTTCCCGCCAAATCGCAAGGGGGAGCTTATTCGAGAACTCGCGAGAACGGATGGTTCTCGGAGGCAGATGGTCACGAGACCTTGGTGTCTTTATATAATTTGTCGGAGGCATTGTACAAGTGGTTGTACTTCCGAACCTCCTTGATTAACCTTTCGTAGTACTTGTCCATTGTAGTTTTTCCTCGGTTTTTAAAAATGGCGCCCCGGCACCGAATTGCGAAGGACGGCCACACAGATAGCTGAAAAGGCATACCAAGGACCAATCACAGCTGATTTTTGTCTGTGCACTTCTGCTTGATATCTGCACGGGTTTGTGACCGTCCAACGCATAGTCAGGATTTTTTTGAGGTGCGCGACGACGGTTGCAGAACCTCTGCGTGGGGGACAGATTTGACGGTTGCAGAGCCTATGGGTCAGAAGCATAAATTGGCCTTATCGAGTAGAATAACTCTGTGGTCGAACCACGAACCTATGAACGTTTGCTGCTCCTGAAATAATAAAAACTATTTTAAGAATACAAATTTTATCCAGCAATAACTCCACCATCTTGGAAGAGTTTGTATCTAGCAATGTTTGGATTAAAATCAGGTATCCTAAAAATAAGATAAACATGCATTAATTTACTTTATGAGGCTTACTGTAGTCAGTTTGAAGCTCTTGAAGTTTCATTTATTATTGTTATTACTTTTAGGGCAGCAAGGCTTCGGACACAGCATCCTCCTCCAAGTTCGGACGGGCTGTACCAAAACTGAATTTCCCTTCAGGGATTGATAAAATAAAATTGAATTGTATTAAATACCTTATTAAAAGGGGCATCCGTTCAGACGTCTTCTACTTTGACCATTTCTCTCTTTATTTTGCACTAGAATATTATATTATGTACTGTATGATGACTTTTTCTGTTTTGTTTTTCTTTTCTGATTGTTTTGTGTGAACTGTAATATTGAACTACTGGTCGCCTCTCTGGCAACTCGGTCCTGAAAACAAATGTCAATTTGCGATTACTTCCGCAACAAACTACGGTTGAAGAACAAAACATAAACTGCTGCTCCTTACTCTATTAAAAGTAGGAATGAAAATAAAATTGTGAGCACTGATTGGTAAACCAGCTGCAGTTTTACAATGTGTTCCAAAAATGTTCCTGCTATGATTAGTATGTCAGGGTTTTATATTTAGCTCTTTAAGGATAAAGGTAAAACTGTCTGGGTTTTTTTTGGAAGGAGTTTGAGGGCTTGTTTTTATAGTCTTGAAACATAATGCAAGTTCCTCGAACATAGCAGCCGTTTCAGGCCTTCATATTCATTGTTAAGTGTGTTTTACGGCAGACGTGGAAGGTGTGAGTGACACAGCACCTCTGGATGACCTCGGCCCATGGAGTTTTTGAGGTTACCACAGAAATCAGGGGAAGTGAACTGGTGTGTTTGTAGCTTTGCGTTACATTAATGGAAACGGCTTACTTTGGCTGTTACTTCTGTGGTTCACACACATGTGCACAGACACACACACACACACTTACTTTACCTCTTTACGTCTTTGTTTTCTGTTTTTCTAGGCTCAAATGCCAAAATCTGAACCCATTTGTCATACGGCCGGTGCATGTTGGCACTTTGGCCTGCACATCACTAATTTCGCTGAACACAGAGTCGTCCATTAGTCCCAGATCTGCTTTCACCTCTTCTTTTTCACTCTCGGTCTCTTCATCTCTCTCATCCTCCTCCCTCATCTCTCGTTTCCCTCTTTCTCTTTGTCCAACTTGTCCTTTCTTGTTGTCTTGGTTTTCATGCGTCTTGCTCTGTCATCACTTGTCCTTACCTCTCCACTCATCTCCACCCCTTTGTTGTTGCATTGATAGAGGGAAGGAGGGATTGACCCCCTGCTGTAGGTCAGATTCAGCGGCTCCCACCACGCCTAATTAATGCACTCACTCATTCACTCTTTTTTTTTTTTTTTAAGCCACAGTCATTTGTAATTTTATACAAGCTTCAGGCTTTATTTCATACTTTTTTTTTTTTCTGCTACTGTTGTTGGAATCATGTATTTCTGCTCACTATGCAGTAGCTACATAGATATTTGGCTTTTGCTAGAAAGCATCTAAACACAGTGAAGAAAATTTATACAAACTTTACGAATGTAAGGGTTTGGTAAAATATGAAGAAATCACTCAGCAAACCTGCAAATTTTATTTTAATGCAAAAATCAGAAAATAAAATTGCAGAGTAAAAGCTGTAAAAGGTGACAGTTGTTACCTAATGGAAAATTTTCCTTCACTTTTTTTTTTTTTTTTGTTTTGTTTTATGTTTATGGTTATTTGTAGCACTATTCAGCAGTGTCTCACACATAGGTCAGAGACTTCAATTTCATTTATGCTGATTTATGTTATGGACCAAAAACAGTGAAACATTTGCAGGGTATCCACGGTCATTAAAAATAATTAAAAGTCATTCAATTATTATTTTTTTAATTAAGGCCTTAATTGGCTTAAAAAAATTTTGAATGTGTGTTTTGGCATTTAAAATGCTTTATTCAAAAAAAATAAAAAATTATACCAACAATTTTGTCAGATATATTATATCGCGATATATTTGCGCAGAACTGCCTCCGGTTGATCGTAAAGTCGTATGTTCAGAAAAGAAGCTCGAGGCAGAGAAAAAGCTAGAGTATGGGAAAATGCAAATTTTAACAAAAGTGGCTGGAAATGAGGAATTTGGGACATGGGTGTAGCCTGTCGACGGTAAAGATGACGAAGGATTTTGCCTTGTTTTTTAAATAAAAAAAAAATATATAATTTAATAAAAACAATACATATATATATACATATATATAGATAGATAGATAAATAGAGAGAGAGAGAGAGATGGTATTAAAATTATTTCTTAGAGCATCAAAAGGCATTAAATTGGAGTTACTCAATCCTGTACAGTATAAACTCTGATTTGGGATGATGGCAGAAACGTAGCAGAAGATTGATTTTCTAAATGTTTCCATACAGAAATCTTGAACCCTTATACCTGTAAATATGATGTAATAAATTGCCTTTATTAATCATCCAATGCAAGGCAGTGCTTTTATTTTATTTTATTTTATTTTATTACTTTTATTTATTTTAGTTATTTTATCTTTTTGTGCAGCACTTTGGAAACCTTGTGTTTATTTAAACCGTGCTATATAAATAAAGTGGATTGGATTGGATTGGATCCAATCAGTAATTTAATGTCAATTAATCTCAGTATAAATACAGTTGCACAGGAATTTATTCATGGAGAGGTTTAAACTTGGTTTCACATGACGTTTGGCACAATAAGATTTTTATATTAAGGCTGAAACAACTAATCAGATTAATCAATTATTGGAATAATGGTCAACTAATTTTATAATTGATTAATCGTTAAATGTTTAGAGAGTTCTAAACTAACTAACTCAAAATAGTAAACCAAATACAGAAATATTTAGCATTTAAGATCAAAAAACTTTTTCTTCTGTCATTATGCTCTATCCAAGTGCTCTATCTACTCCTGCAGTGGAAATGTTTTAGTTTAACCTGGTTTAATTTCGTCACAGATCTTCTTTAAGGAACCTTTGGCTATCCGATTATTGATTGATTAATAAAAAAAAAAAAATCAAAAATTAATCAGTTTGCAAAATAATCATTAGTTGTTTCCCTAGTTTATATATATATATCCAGACTAGTGACACAAATGGCCCAACAAGATGGAAAACAGACACAAAACACATTACAAATTACTAAAACAGATAAACCTAAAGGGAAAAAAAAATCTATAAACTACCTACTACTGTGGAAAATCAAACTACCTAAACCTACAGTATGAGTAAAGGGAGGGCATTAAGTGGGACACCTCTTAGCTAGTTATCCTGGATGGTCTACTAGGAATAATTATGCAGGGGGAAAAATGTAAATGCTCATGTGCATGTTTGAAATAAGTAACTGTTATATTTACTGCTCAGTATGGGAAGTGGGTCTTGTAGCTTTAGCTGGGGTCAGACTATAAGAATGCATCCAAGAATCACTTCAGCAAACCATACAATTAAAAAATATTGGCCAGAATTTCTCAGTCAGAGTTACTGATGACTTCTCAGATTTAAAGAATGCTTTCATTCTGCTGCATTTAACTCCCACCAGCTTATTTCCATCTATCAAACCGCTGCTGAAGGGAAGAAATGCAGCTCTATATTATTTAGATGCAGTTAAACACTGCAAACTACCAGTATGTTTATTTAACATTTTATTCAGATTTTACAGTCTAGCTGGTGAGCCTCTAAAACACCCAAGTTTAAAACTTTAAAAACTTAAAAAATCTGACGTTTAAAAGTTTTATCAATGAGTGTGCAGTGTTGGATTTTGGGACGCGGTGTGTGCATGTTAAGAAAAAGAACGCTGTGATGAAGTTATTTAGGGGGAATTTAGGCAAACATCAACAGGAGTAAATCAGCCACCTGAGGGAGCAGCCGGTGACAGTAATGAAGGAGCTGCAGCCTTGATGCTCATAAATCTGTTTGCACAGGCTGTGCAGTCAACACTCTGAGCTTTCTGGGATAAATGTAGATGTTGTAGAGAAAGTCACTCTGACCATTAGTAAACTTAGATTTATGGTTGTTTGGGGAAAAAGGTTGGAAGTTATTTATTTATTCTTTTTTGCAGTTCTGCAGTTTTTTTTGCAAAGAAATCTCCTTGATCTGTTGATTTGAACTTTTGCAAATCTTTTCGTTCAACCTGGATCAGTTTTTGCCTTATTCTTCTTTAAATATACATTTATTAGTGAGACATGAATGCTTTTTTAAAGGTAGAGAAGGTGAAACTGCACCGTCATGTGTTTCGGGACCATGCACTCTGAGATTCAAGCCACTTAAGCTACGACGACAGAACACAGCGGTCATTTATGAAATACTTTGGACAGATCTTTACTTCTCTTCTTCTACTCCAGGTCATTACACTGGCCGAGGCTGCGGAGGAGAACCGGGCGCTACTGGAGCAGGCTTTCGTCCGTTTACGGAGCTCCACTCACCTGCTGGTTCTGCTGCTGTCGCTGTGGCAGGGCCTGACCCACGATCAGACCGCCATCTTGGAAGCCACCTTACTGCCGCTGCTGCAGGACACACCCCAGCTGGTACACACACTCGCACACACACACAGGAGGCAATTAACATGTCAGTGTCCTTCCATCCGTCTGTAACCTGCTCAGTAAACACAGCCCCAACTTAAACACACACTCAGAAAACTTTTAAAATATATTAAGCACTTTTGGTCTCTGAGGATTTCACACACACTCAATCACACGCTAACTCGCCTCCTCTCAACACTCACCTGTCAGCTCCACACCAGGAGCGTTCGCTGAGCTACCTTTTTATGAGTTCAGCTTTAAATTTCTTTCTGTGTGGGTTTTTTAAGGCAAATGTGATGCTTTTTAACCACCTCGAAAAAGAGTGAAAGACTGAGTCTTGCTGTAGAAACATATAGCTGCATTTCTATCAGTTTGCATATGTGTGTTGTGCTGATATTAGAGGGATTTCTGCTCCAGAAACTGCTTTGTTTGCTCCAATATTACTATAACCTTACAGTAAATAAGCTTTTTTTCCAATAGAAAATGTATATATTCTTAGTTTTTCTGCTTTTTTAGAACAATTTCTATATACAATATAATATAGAACCAAATGGGACTGTAATAGCTGGGATTATCAATATTTGATATACATATCCTAGATATTGGTTTGCTCTTAAATGTTTGAATTGAATCTAATGAGATTAGATCCACTTCCTTTTCTAATAAAGGATATGATGATTTGGATGTATTCAGCGTCTCTTAGCGTTACGGGTTTGTTTTTTCTGAATAACAGAGCTGACCGATAAAGATGTTTAACCTTCTGTTGTTTTGGATTTTATGTTTTGTTTTATTTATTCAGTCCTATGCCACAATTATATATACGTTATAGAGCTTTTTTCATCTCAATCTTCATCCTTTTGTGTAATTTTGGTTCAATTACTACAGAGATTTGGGTTGTTCTTTCAGGTTTTATTCTGTTCCACTTGATTTAATTAATGGTTCGTCCCTATTTTAGAAAAAATAATGATGGTTATTGCATTAGTTACAATTAACACTGAATCTGTTAATTGATCATGTGAAAAAAAACAAGAGAGTATAACCAGGAAAGTTATGTTGGCAGCAAAACTTAGAGCTGTAATTTCCTGGGGATCCTAAATGGAGTAAAATAATATCTTGTTTGTTTTATTTATTTGTCGATATCCAGTTAATTTAAAGGGAAAACACAGCGGCTGAGTTTTCCATGTATCCTCTATTTAATTAGAGACAAAGCAGCATAGAGACAAGCATACAGACCTGAATCTGAATCCTTTCTACAGCTGCGTTAATGTTAATATCACAGCAAAATGTTTTTACACTGAATTAAAAAAACAATCATGTCACAAATTTATGCCACCTTAAAAAAAGGAGTACAAATCCGACCTGTGTAGCTTTAATCTGTGTTGGCCCGTCACATTTTTCCATAGCTGTGATCAATTCCCCGGAGCTTTCATTACCACTAAGTCTATTTACAGAACCGCCTCACGGCCCAACATTACACACGGTCACATCAAAACAGCTGCATGTAAAACATCTAACAAAACGCACAGAGGGGCAGAGAAACTAATTGTGGACAAAAATAAGTTAAGAAGGACAATTGATAAGCCTTGGGGGACTGTGAAAGTGTGTCTGTTATTTTAACCTGGATTATTGGCATTAAGCGAATTAGCAATAATTAGGGTCACGTCCACAACATTAAAGGAAAACAGGTGGAGTGACAAGCTATTTTCAGAGAACACAACGGGCTCGGCTGGGCTGTGACTGCATGCATTCAAATGTGGTGATGTAGTCGTTGGATTATATTTTGGCTCATAATAGCTCTGAACTTTTAGCACTTTTGTTTATAGTAACATAGGAACCAGAAAAAAGATCTAATTATACATTGAAGTTAAGGTGAGGGTCTCGTTATATTCAACCGTGCCTCACCGACTTACTCTACTTAGTTACATTTATAAGTAAATAATAAATAGATACATCAATAAGTCACATTTAACTAAATACATATATAATAAAAAAAAATGTATATATGTTTTACCCATGTTAAGAGTGTACATTTAAATTCTTCGTTAAGGAATCTTCAGATTTTTTTTTAGTGAATTCTTTTGGTGCCAGCAGGGATCTTCATCTTGACTTTTGACCTTTTCTCTGACCATGCAGGTGAGGTCAGTGCAGCTGAGTGCAGCTTTCTCTAAGGGATAAGTCCCTGGAATGTCACCAGCATGAAAAAGTCAGAGAAGAGCATAGAGGCCTGAAGTGCTGGATTAAAGGAAAACAAAGAGGCTTGGAGGGAGATAATGAGAAGGAGGAGAAAGACTAAAGCTAAAGATTTAGTTTGTGTTGAGATCCCGTAAAAGCTATCAAAGAAATTATTTGAACTTAAAGCGTGACGGCTGTCACAGGTTTAATCATTTTCCTATGAGTTGATTACGTTTAGTCCATATTCCTCTTGGCTAATGTTGTAGACATGGCAAAACTCCTTAGATACATATTTGAATTGCTGTTTTAATAACCTGATTATTATGTATAAGCAGTGAAATGAATGAATATATAAGCGCAAGAGTTTTGTATCATCTTGCTAAAGCATTTTTATATAATAATAGAGTTAATTTTGTTAGATTTTCTTTTTCTAAAAAGCTTTGGTTCCCATTATTAAGGATATTAGCTATTTTAATAATTTTCATAATCATCTAGAACAGGAGGGGGAACCACTGTGTTTATTAGCAGACAGCAAGAATCATGTTTGTTTTCCATTGATGCCAAAAATGTATTAACAACGCTCTGACCACAGTAAAACTTACGGAAGAGGATTAGGGCCACTGAAAAAAAAAAAGTCAGAATTCTGAGAAAAAAGTCAGAATTCTGAGATTAAGGTCAGAATTTTGACTTTTTTCCCATACTATACTGAAATAAAAAAAAAATCTGTTAACTTTTTTTTTTTTCAGTA